TTGTGGATTGAAAATTACTCCGAAAGGATGATCTGCAGCATTTGGGTTTTGAAAGGGCTGCATTAATATAATTGACTTATTGTGGGTCTTAGGAAGTATGCTCTTTCTCGTGTCTGTTTGGTAAGACAGTGAGCATACGTACTGGCTTGTGCTGGTCTTCCTTGCAGGACAGTTTCTCTGTGCGTGCAGGAATTGGTTTTGAAGTTTGCTCTCTCGGCTGCTTTGCGGTGTGGCTTTCTGCAGTGGTTGTGTATTTTGATGCGTTGTGAGAGCGATGGGCTGGCTGGCTGGTTGCTGAGGTGTTCCTTCTGGCTGGGCGACAGCCTTGCTGGCTGACCTCAGCCAACTCTGGTGGGGGAGAGTGGCTAATATTTTCCAAGGCATCTAGGTGATTTAGGAGCCCACAGCTTACCCTGAAGGGGGTTGATGCATTTGGAAAATGTTACCCTATGAAACTCACCCCAAAGGGATATAGCGTGGGCTAATTTATGTTTGTAAGACAGCCTGGGGTCTCGGACTCCTATGATGTGAATATCTTGCACTCTCTTCTTGGTACAGAGGCAAACAGGATCCATTCCTGTGGTTGTTTCATCAGACAGTCAAGCTGTAGTGAATCCACATCTGCTGATAAGAAGGTAACTCCTAGATAAATCATAAAGGCATGCCTCTGAAGCCTAGAAATAAGAACTTCTGGCCCCAGTAACAAAAGCCTGGGCTGCCCAACCTAAGAAAGGCCGCCTACTGCTCTGGTAGCAATCAATCCCTCGCCTTTCCTCTGGCATTGCCGACTGCGGGCACATCACGAGGGTTCACAGGGCTGGTAGGTTTGGTGAGGGTGGCCGCAGAAACAGCAAAAAAGTGGCTGCCCTGCCAGCTGCACGGGGGTGGCTCACAGCCCAGCAGGCCCCTGTGGGACGATGAGGCAGTCCTTGAGTCATGGTGGCTCTGCTCTTGGCTGATGTCCTCGATGGCTGAGGAGAGGTAGCGAGACATCTGGAAGGAGGTTGAGAGACGTGTGCCCTGGCTCCAGTGGGGAACACAGGGTTATAGCAATGGGGCTGAGATGTGCACGGGAAGGCATGCTTTATCTGCCTGTTCTTCATGCTCCCTATATTATATAAATATCTTCATATTCTCCTGCTGCAGAATAGGAGTAGTGGCTGTGCCTGAGGCAACCAGCATGTGTCTGCGATGCTCCCTGTGGCATCTAACCGTTCTCCTGTCCTTGCAGAAAATCATTAATTAAATTTAAATGCCTCTTGCTGAATTTCCCGCATGGTTCTTTTCATGTCTTAAGCTGGTCATTAGGATTTCTGTGGCTTGTGTGTAGTTATACTGCATGAGTCCTTTAATAAACCATACTGAGGGTGAAAGTGTCTGTATGAGAGGGGTGAGAGAAGGGCTGAGTGGCTTCTCTGTGGGTGTCTGAAGTGAGGGAGAAAAGAAAGGATTAAGAAGTAATTAAAGGATAGAGAGAACGATAAATAAGGAAGAAAGGAAAAGACTGTGAGGAATATTACTGATGGATTTTAATTTGAATTTGGGCAGTCAGGTTTTTTACACATTTGGGTAAGAAGATGTTGGAGGCGGCCTCGGTTACTGTTATGCTTTCAAATTATAATCTAAGTGCTGCCTTGATTATACACCATCCTGATTGTTGTGGTCTAGTGATTAGAGCATAAAACTTGGAGACAAAAAAATATGCTGCTTTTCATGACTGTGAAGGACTCGCTGGGTGGTTTTGAATGAGTTATTTCACTGTGCCTCATTTTCCTGATCTGCAAAATAGGGTTATTAATGCCTATTTTTGTGAGGGCAGTCTGAGAAACTTAAATGGAAACTTCTGTATAAATGTCAAGTATCATTATTATTGTTCTTAAACTAATCCATTGTAGTCAACTGCTTTTATAGTTTTTATGAAAGCAAATACAATGGGAGCTACATAATTGGCTGCCTAACAATGTTTTTTTAATTAGAAGAAGACAAAAAGTGTCTGAAAAATGTAACAGTGGGTTGCCTTTTTTCATCAATTCAAAAAAAGAAAAATTCTGCTGGAACTGAACCATACTATACCAGGTAGTAAAGTTACTCTGAAGTATAAGTGGCACACTGGTGAAGTAACAGGCTCAGATAATTTTTTGTTACGTGTTTGGTTCACTCTTTGCCTGGCACAGTCAAGGATTTTCAGTTATTGTAGAACGAGTAAGCATAAGGGTGAAAATGTGAAAAATGTGTGTGTTTACTTCTTTGCCACCATCTGAGAGATGAAGTTTCCTCAGGCTGTGATTTTAAAATCATAATTTTCGGTTGAATTGTTTGCAATGTCTGCTTTACACACCTTTGGAAACAGATAATATAACAAACACTAATGCTCCCTCTCCTTGATGAAGTGAGTATGACCCATCTTTTAATACAATACAATACTGTTAGAACAAGGTAATGGAACTGAATGGGGAGAACATGAGTCCCATTACTCTCCACATTTGCCTAAATCCTGCTTATCTGAAAGGTAATCCTGCCTCTGCCAGTTCACCCTGACTGTGGATAGTCCCAGGGATTCGGCCCAGGCCCATGTGCAGAAGGCTTTATCAGTAGGGGTATGCTGTATGGCAGGATGCTCTCAATCCAGGACGCTGATTATACTAGTAAAATTGAATGTTTGCCAGTCTAGCTTATTGTTCTTTCCCTGAATTTGTCCTGACAGAAGCAGGATTTTGCTGGTGTAACAGTGTTTATTTTGTGATGGAAGAAGGAGAACGTTGGCTTGTTGGTTTTTTTTTCAGACAGAGCGATGTTGGTCATAGGTAATGTGTCTTCATACATCGAAGTGATTTGGCAAAAATCTGTTATGTAGTCTTGGCCTTAACATGACGTCAGAGAGAGTAACTTGCGACCTGTCTATCCTCATCAGCATCAGTCCTGCTGCCTTCTAGGGCAGCCCAATTCAGAAAATTTTACAGTTGCTGTAGGCGGACTTAATATCTGTACAGTGGGCTGAGTAGAGCAGTCCTGGCTGTTCATTTTCAGTCACCAGAGACTGCATTGCAACAACTGCCTCTTCAAAGCGCTTTCCCCCACCAGGCAGCACGAGCCCGTTCTCTGCAGGCTCTTCTTAAGCCACGTCCCCTTTTATCTGTGAGCTGGTTCCCTCTAACACCAAGGCTGTTCAGAGGCAGGTATTACATTATAAGCTGAGCAAGATGGGTAGAGCGATATGACATCTGGATGCTGATGGCAGTGCAAGATGATGGATATAGTGCTGGTCTTAAAATCATTACGCTGTATCTTGAAAAGACTCAAATCTCTTTACTGGGAAGCCAGGTCCATTCAGAAGAAAAGTTTTAATGACATCTCATCAATGTATTTGCCCTTAAATAAAGATGCTGTTTCACAAAATAATTAAAAGCAAGTTTGGAATGGGGCTTTCTGTTTGGTGGTTTGTTGTCTTTTTATAAAATTGTTATACTTTTGAGGACATTTGTGAGAACTGCTCTTGTCTTGCTTGGTCAGAGTCCTACCGTTGTTTGTACCAGGTATAGTGAGCATGTTAGGGCTGTGGGAGAGGGCAAACAATTCATTTTTCTAAAACAAATGTAGTATGTTGGACCTTTAGATTTTTTTGTTTTTATCCTGTTGGTGAAAAAAACCCATGCTAAATATATGAAATGAATATAATTTTTTACCTTAAAGAAAGATCCAGTGTTGGATTTGTATTCTGTCTGCAAACAGTTAACATAAAACATCGCCTTTGAGAATATTGGACTGCTCATCCTCTCAGTGAAGCTAAGAGGAATTTTTTAATGTGTGACAGCACTGGGAAGCAAGACTTTTTCAGGGCAAGTACAATAAAATTCTAGCAGGTAATGCTCTTCATCAGAAAATACTTGTAAGAAAAATGCTGAAAAACATTCTTCTAGTTACACTATTAGGTAGATTTTATTTTTTTTTCTCAGTAATAGTGAGTGTACATACACACAAACCATGCCTAGCTCTGAATTGCTAGTTGCAAATGAGATTTTCCTGTCTGCTCGTGCACTCCTTATTATGTCTTTTTCAAGTGTAAGAAATGGATAAATGGATTTGATTTTTAAACAAGTGGTCTGATTGCAATTCCACCTCAGCAAAGAGCAGTCTCTACTGAGATGAGATGAAAATGCAGGCGGTCGAACAAAGGAGCCACAGAAAACTCTCCCTCTTGAAGAGCTCAATAGGCACATATTGAAAGGAGTTGACTACACCTCAGTCCCGTGTCTTGTGGGTTTGTCTTTGGGGAAACAAGGTCCGTTATGTTTTTTCTGATTGCAGCACTAGATGCTTTCTCGTGCTTCTCTACTGGCCATGCGGGGTGGAAGGCCAAATTTTGCTTTGTCATGACAAGCCCAGTTGGAGAGCTTTCTCCTAGTTCTCCTGAAACAGATTAAAGTGAATACAGACCGAGACAACGGGTAAACTATGATGTAAAGTTTATATACAAGAATATAACATTTATCTGGAGTATTTACAAGGTTAATTAAAGCAATATTTTACAACTCTTTCAGGTTAACCACTAGGTATATTACAGTTAGGCTACAGATGGTTTAATTTGCTAAAATAGTAAAAAAAAAAAAAAAAAAAAAGTTGTATTCAGACCAACCAGTTCCAAAACTCGTTCATTTTTTTCTGAGAGAGAGGGCTCAGACTTGTGGAAAATAAAATGTGTGAATGGTTAATATACTCTTACTGGTGCCTATGTATCACATGCAAGAGTCATAACATGACCTTTATAGTGTTAATATAGATGGCAAGCCATTTCACCTCGGTGAAAGAGTCATACCCACTGTGACGGGCCAGTCGCACGCACGGCTGTCTTCCTCTGCATCTCCTGCTTTTGCACAACAAACATGCACGTATACAGAGAAGCAGCAATATAAATGAACCAGCATTACCAAAAATGAAGAGGGAAATACCTCAGACCAAAGTCACAATTTGCAACCATAGGAAGAAAAAAAAAAAAAAGCTTTAAGCGAGATACTTTAATGCTTCCCAAAAATAGTCATGATTTTTTTTCTTATTACATTTTAACCTATGTACAAAAACAGAGGGCTCCCTCCCCTCTCGGGGAGCGGTCACCGCATCTCGTGCCCGTGGCAACTCGAGGCTTACTGGGGCTGAAGCAAGAAGGTGCGGGAGGCCCGGAGAGCTAGGGACAGAGGCGGATGAAGCCAAAGCCACTAACACTGCAGTTTGCGGATGCTGCGGGAGAAGCGCTTGAAAGCCCGCTGCCCTTTCTGCCACCGCTTCAGCGAGGTGATCACCAGTTCCCCAGCTTGCTTCTGCCCCATCACCAAGTAGGGGACGTTGATGTCGTTCATCTCATCGCAGGTACACTGCAGGCCACCTTTGAGCCAGAGGACGATCTTCCTCAGGTCCCGTTCCGTCAGCCCGTTCAGCTTGTAGATGGTTTTGCTCTTTGTTTCGGGGGTGATCTTGGTATCCCCATTGATGTAGGCAATCTCCTTCACTTTTATCTTCAAGGCTAATAGAGCGAGGGGAGGGGGAGGTGGGGAGAAGGAGAGAGATTGAGAGGTTTTTTCCCATTAGTGCACATAAAGAGGACCTGGGGAGGGAGGTGCTCTATTGCTAATTAAACTGTCAGGGCTGACAGAAGAGGCAGCAGGTGGCTCCATTTCTAAAGCCACAAAGGGCATGCAAGTCATTTCAGTTTGAATCAGCCTTAGGGTTGAGGGGTTTTGGGTCTCTTTTTCCTCTTCCTCCCCTCCCCCTCTTTTTTCCCTTCCTTTTTAAATTAATATTTTCTCCGGCTATTCTCTTGTTTGCAAACAGAGAGCAGGCAAGTTTGCTACGTTAAGCAATGCTCCAGGTTTTTGCCAGGAGAAGACGGTCCTCCTGAAACTACAGTTTGAAGGGGAGGTGGGGAAGCGAGTACCTAGACCTAATCTGAAACCTGATCTCTGCTGCGGCTGAAAACTTCTAAACTTAATTTATTAGGCTGGGGAGGATTTTAGGCAAACCTGTAAGGAAATGATATTTCACATGCATTGTTTTTTTGAAAGAATAGATCCCATAGAGGGCAAATTGGTCCAACAGCTGCATTCGATTTAGTAAAATAACTAGGAGAGGGGATGCAGGGCTCTGTAAGAATCTGTGGGGCATGTTTAGCTTTAGGAGGGTTTATCTGAGTGCAATTTGCCAGGCCAGAGCTATTGGTTGTTTTAGCAATTATGTCCCACAGTCATGGTTTCAGGTTTTGGGTGGTGTGGGGTTTTGTTGTTGTTGGGTTTTTTTGTTTGTTTGTTTTTAATAAAGACTTTTGAATTGTAGGTATTTATACTACAAATCTGTTTCCAGGTATAAACATTGACCTATTATAAAAGGATTGCCCTCCTTATTCCCTTTTTCTCTTGAAATGCTAATGTGTGGGTAATGTGCTGGTTCAGTTGCCTGTGTCCAAGGGGCTTTCTCGTCCTCCTCTAACCTCAGACCTTTCCATTAAGTTTGTATCTCCAGCTGCCTGTGCATTACCTTCTCTGTCCAATGATATACAGAGCTTTTCTTAATCTGCGGAGAGTCTTTCTTACGATACACGAGATGGGTCATGCAGCTCTCTGGTACGTGTAAACCAAGCTTTGCTCTACTTGTCCCCAGGCAATAGTCTGGATGAAAGATTCTTTTAGTTTTTGGGTTTTTTTTAATTATACTTTCTATTAGACTTGCCAGCAACATCCACATAAAAGACCACTGCTTGGAAACAGCAAAGGACTATAAAAAGGGCTGCTTCTTATTCCGAGGTGGAATTTTTGTGTTTTGTGACCCAACAGTTGGACGGGTCCATCTGTGGATAAGACAAAGACTTGCCTTTATTCGGGCACATCTCTCCCTGACTCCCCTGGGAGGTTTACCTGCTCCTCAACTCTCCGGTTGCAACCGAGAGGACTCCGCTTCCACTTACCGAAGTCATTCTTGCAGAGGTTTTCCACGATGTCGTTATCGTCTTCGTTCTTGTTTTTGCAGGCATCGCAGACCTTGGGTGCTGGAAACGGAAGGGACAGTCCCCGTCAGGCTCGGGGCGAAGGGAACAGCAGGTGGCGTTGGGAACCCTTCGGGAAACGCCGGTTTTCCATCCCTCGATGGGGGGACCGGCCCCGGCGCTGTGACGCGCCTCACCTCGCTGCAGGCGGGCACGGTGTGCGTTTAACGACGCACCGAGACCAGGGGTGATGGGGCTTTCATGAGGGAAGGAGCATCAGAGCGGGGGGCGCACGACACGAAAC